TAGGTTCGTCCGCAAACAGCCCCGCGCGTCCAGGGCCGTTTGGGGGACCATGGCGATAAACTAGGTTCGTCTGCAAACAGTCCCGCACGTCCAGGGCCGTTTGGGGGACCATGGCGATAAACTAGGTTCGTCTGTAAACATTCCAGAGCTGTAATCGCGGTAGGCTGCAATGGCCCGAGGATGTGTCAGCCTGGCTTCTTTGTGGCTTAGGTCTATAGGCCTAGGGTTAGTGGACAGTGGCCCCCCCCCCCTAGGGTTATAAAGTCTGGAAAGTGGCTTCCTACTCCTAGGTGCAGGAGGCGACGCGCGCACTGCTTGGCTTGGTGAATGAAGATAATGCGACTCTCACGCTTGCGTGATTGTGCTTTATTGAGAGCGAAGATTCTGAAACTCTGTACGTTGCAGCATCTGAGCTCTCAAGCTTGTAGCTTTTCTTTTCGGTCTAGCTTGGTAGCTGTAGAGCCCCAGTTGTAGTGCAGAGCCATGACTGATGGAGGCTCTGGATCCGGCGACGTTCGTCGTGATCAGGGGCGTGATGCGGGGCCGGCGCGTAGCCCAGCCACGTTTGGCACAGGCCCCTCTGGAGACGTTGCTCCACCTGATGTGCCTGAGCACCTCCCGCGTAGGGATCGCAACACCAGGAATCACCGTGCCAGGCGTGCGTCCACGTCAGCCCCCTCTCCATGGGCCCAGGGGCAGCCATCTGCCCCCTTCAGAGATCAAGCACAAATTGACGGCGTGCGTCGCGGCTTGCGCTTCCTTGTCGACGTTCGACAACGGCATTTGGAGCAGGGCTTGCGTGACGAGCTGACAAATCGTCAGCTCAGCTACCTGCAACACTGCCTGGCCTCTTTGTGGGGTGACTCAGCGTCTGAGTCAAGCGGGGCGAGCAGCCTTGATATGCCGCCGCTCGTTCAAGAGCGTGCCTGCTACGAAGCCGACGTTCGGCCTCCCCTCCAGCCACGCAGAAGTTTTGCTGACAGCTTGTGATGCTGTGCTGCCAGCCGCCCAGGGCGTGGCAACGGGGGACCAGCGAGCTTGTGCCGCGTAGGCCTGCAAACTGAGCGGGCAGGGGGACGTCTCCCTCTGCCTGCAGGCGCGTAGCTTTGAGGGACGCTGAGGGCCTGGAGGGCTCACTCGCTTGCGCCTGAGCGCGAAAAAAGGGTCCCACAATCATCGTATGCTCTGTTTTGATTCCCACGAGGTGTGAGGAAAGCGTGGTATGCTTCAAGGGGCCCCTGCTTGTCAGTGAAGTTTTGCTCAAGAGATCTTAGTTTCAGTGTAGAGCAGCTGTTGTTCCGAGGCGCGTTTTTTTTCTTCTTCTTTTTCTTTTTTGGGTTTTGCTTTCCTTGGGCTTTTGTCACCTGTCTGTCTGTGACCTGCCCTGTCCACCCTAGTAGTTGCGCTGCGTTTGTGCTTGAGTGCATGTGCGTTGCATGCTGCGTTGTGCCTTGAAGGTTTGCGTGTCCGCAGCCGTTTTCACTATGGAGGACAGGGTGCAGAGAGCGTGGACGGCACTCCCGTCTCAAGCCGTGAGGCTGCCTTGGGAGACTTTTCTGGATGGGGCGTTCCTATCCTTGCCTCTGGCCTTAGACTTTGATAGGCCCACGGCCGTGCCCGTGACCTCGTGTCCGGCCGCGCCGCCGGCCAAGAAAGCGCGACCGGAGACGTTCTCCAAAGGCGGCTCTGTGGCCATTAAGGTGTCGGCCAAGCATGAAGACGACCGCCGTGCGGCCGCCCTGTATCAGATACAGGCCATGGTGGAGGCCTGAGCGCAACCAAGGACTGGACCATGACGAGCTGACGTTCAGCCTGGAGTCGGCGGTCATGCATAAAGCAACCTCTACTGTGGTGCGTCGCCTCAGTAGTCTGGCTCATTATGTCAGGTGGGGGTCCCCGTGACAGAGAAAGCCGCGTGGGCTTATCTTTTGCACCTTCAGCGTGAAGAGGCGGCTTGGTCTAAGCCGTCCGGCTTCCGCCAGTGCATCAACTGGTGCCGAGGCGTCCTCGACCTGGTCGTGGAAGATGACTTCCTGTCCAGCCCACGCGTAGTGGGCATTTGTAAGGGCATGGAGTCCAGGGCGCCCCCGCCTAAGCGGGCGCCCTGTCTCACGTTTGAGGAGGTGCTCTTTATAGAGGCGCTGGCAGCCGCCGGAGAAAACGTCCAAGATGTGGTCATCGCAGGGGCCGTGCTCTTTATGTTGTTCGCGAGCGCCCGCGCAAGCGACGCAGCCAGGGCCGTGTCCCTGTACCTAGACTTTTCCGATGCTGACGGTTCCACCATGTGGATGGAGAGTGAGGTCAAGAAAAGTAAAACGGCTATGGGGGCTAGGGCGCGTCTGCTTTTGCCCCTCTTGGCGCCGTATCCCGCCCCATGGCGACGATCACCTCAGTGATACGGAGGACTCAGCCTCTGAGAAGCTCAGCGATGACGATATGCCGGCTGATGCGCCCCTGCTGGCTGCCCGGGAGCGCCGCCCCGTCATTGCATGCATTCCACACTGGTGCGTGTCGTACATGCACGTTGTGAGTAGCTGCTTGCACGTTGCGAGCGGGGACGACAAACTCTTGTGCGGGCGCAAGTTGTCTGACAGGTATTTTAAGACGGACGTGGTGGAGCTGGACATGGGGCGTCCCCATT